TTTCATATAAAATGTTATAGACAAAGTTATTAGATTATATTTGATATTTTACCTTGACTAAGTAACAGAGCAACCATTTCTTCATGTCCTTCCCTGGCAGCTTCCATAAGAGGAGTGTATCCTTCATCATTTACTTCTTCAATATTAGCACCACGTTCAAGAAGTAACATAGCTAATTCAACATGTCCTCCACAAGCTGCAAGTGTCAATGGAGATTCAAAACTATCAGCTGGCATATTTACCTAAAATTAAAAAAAAATTTTAAACTAATTTCCAGGAGATAGAGTTAACTCAACAAAATTAATTAAAAAGAAAAAAAAACTTAATATTTTATACAATTTCAAATTTAAATNAACCTATACTATAGGATTATCTTCAATAAAATGTAATTCTATTCAATTTTATATGATATGTCGATAAACTTTAAAATTCCAGTAATTTTGTGTGGGATAGAAGTCAATGCTGATGTTTGCAGACAAAGAGCACAAAAATGTACAGAATGATCTTGCTCATTTTTCTCGGTAATACCACATAAAATGACGTGTCCTGCTACTAATACTTGTTGTCCTTCTATAAAATTTCTCGATGAACTGCTACAAGTAGCATATTTCATTATATCAGATAGTAATATATAATTCATTTTACGTTGATGACTAACAAACGACCCAGATAGAGTAGCCATTTTGTAAAAATACAGCGCCCTCTATAGTTCATGAAAAACACGAATAGCCACTAACAAAAATTAGTTGAAGCAATGTAAAATCTTGCAAGTATTTGAATGACAGTTACACTTATTCTCAATTGAAAATTATTTATGACTGAACCAAATATATCTAAAAAATTAAGTATTTCTGGTATTGCAATTAGTTTAGGTACAATCTTTATATAATTCATTTAAAAAAATAAATTTTTAATTTGAAAAGAATTATCTGGTGATTCATGCCAAATGATCTGCCATATTATTAGGCTATAATTATATCTAATTATTAAATTAGTCTTATGTAATTAGACTAGAGATAGGTGGTTAGGCCTACCTCTAGTCAAATTAATCTCATTATAGCCTAATAATACTACAGATCATTTGGCATTAATTAAATATTTGGCTGTAAATTTGTTGTTTATATATAATTATTATAATTGGTAAACTATTTACATCTTTATTAAATAAAAGATTAGAAGATTGCATTATTAAATATGATATTTTGTGTTAGGAGCAAGCATGTTTACAACTTGGCCAATCATATCAGGATCAAATATTTGTATTAAATGCATTGGTACAATTAAAATTGAAGGGAAAAGAGAGGAAAACTTTATACTATTTTCGTAGACTTTCTATCTGCTTTTGATACCATTAAATCATAAAGTTTTATGGTTTCTATTAGAAAGAAAGGTATGAATAAACAGTTTCTTGGCCTTATAATTGACATATACTGTACTCCAAAGCCACTGCAGGAGTAAAGATTTTAGCCAAAAAACTGATTCATTTGGTATTAACATTGGAGTTTTGCAGGTCCAGATTCTGAGCCCTCTGCTTTTTAATTTATATGTTAATGTTTTGATAGTGTGACTTGTTAAACCTGACCTACCTGGGATTTCTCTCTCTGATCAAGTTGACTTGCATATACTAATGTATGCTGACAACACTAATCCTTGCTGATACTCCACAAATACATTACAAAAGAAAATCACAATTTTAGAGGAATTCTGTTTTGTATAAATGTTTCAAAAACAAAAGTGATGGTGTTCAAGAAGATTGGTAGACTATCACCTAAAGAAAGATTGTCTTTTAACCCTTAATAATCACCTTATACAAGTTGTTCTGAATTACATTTACTTGGGAGTATTATTTTCATCTTCTGGACAGTTTTTACAGACTAAAAAGGCAGTGGGTTCTATGTGGCCTATTCTTTCAAAAACTAAAATTAATTCTGCTTATATTTATATAAAATTATTTCACTCAATGATTTCACCTGTACTACTTTATGCCGCTCCTGTATGGGCAATTACTTATCACAATAAAATGAAAACTGTTCTTGTCTTATATCTTCAAAGAATTTTTGTTATATCATAAAATTCCAGCTCATATGTTGCAAATGGAGTTTAGTGTTTCTAGAATATCAGTATTAATAATAAAAGCAATAGTTTCTTTTTGGATTAGACTTTTGAAAATACATGATAACAGTTGTTAAAGTAGCATATAAACTGTAAAAATCATGTTTAATGATGGATAATTATACAGGGTGTTGCAAAAAGAATCATCCAATTTAAAATGATTATATTATGAAAAGTAATAAAGGTACACACTTAAGATTAATTTATATTACAGGGTTAATCTCAAAGTTTTTTTACACACTAAATTACAGGTGCTCAATAAGCCCCCCTTTGGATGCATGGCATATGACCAAATGATAGTGTTATTCGTCTCAAACTTTTGCGAGCATGTCTGGATCTGAGCTGCTGCTGTTATGTGGTTTTGCAGTTTGACCACTGTATCTGGAAGAGGAGGCACATAAACAGTCTTTTATAAACCCCCACAAGACGGCACAGCTGTGTTTGTCACCTGCTTGAAGAGCTTGCATTAATTGAATCCTGTACAGTTTCAAACGTCATTGCAAAACACACCAGACAGACGTCGTGGAAATGTTTATTTCTCTACTGTCACTAGTGAATTTTTGTGGGCTATGTGCAAAACTCAGCCAGATGCACTACACATTTTCATCTGACACACAGACAACCAGTGGATTTCCATTTACACAGAAAATCCACGTTTTGGAACTGTTCATACCATTGCCTAATGCTCTGGGCAATAAGTGGTTCAACACTTATGTTGTTGACAAAAATCACGCTGAACAGTTATGGACCCACACTTCGCAAAGCATAGAACACAAAATCATTTCTGTTGTCCAGCTGCCATTTTGAAAATACAGAGGTGACAGATGAATGAAGTGCATGGGTGCTGCCAATCAGCAACCATATAAAACTTGAGAATTTCCTCTTTCTAACAGTATATTGTTTGATCAAAATGAACTAAAAGCTGAATAGTTATGATTGTTTTAAATTGGATGATTCTTTTTGAAACACCTTGTACATATAACTAGGCATTGGCATTGAAAAATCTGTTAGATTGACACGGTTTCTCATTTTTATGATTGTCCCAAGATCCTCATTTGATCCAAAGTTATCACATAGTTATAAAAGTGTATTGCAAACAGAGCTTACAAGAAGATTGATCTTTGTTGGAAAAGAACAAGCATTTTCAATTATATCATATTTTTAAAACAACTTATATGTGTGAGGATTATTTGTCTATGGACATAATTTATCATGTAAAATGATTAATTCTACAGCTGAGATGTGGTCAAAATTATATTATGACATAACACTAAACTAATAATAGACCCTAAGAGAATTTTCAGTAACTATAGTTTACAAACATACAAAACTTAATAATATGGGTTCTTTCACTATCAAATTTGAAACAAATAAGAAAAATTTCAAAATCATCAACAACTGTCAAATCAAGTGAGCCTAGCAGAAAAGAGTAGCTCCTAAAGATCAGAAGGATTCAAGTGTCTCTGACAACTAAAATAAAATCGTGAATATTGAATTTTCAGAACATTTAATTTGAAAATATGGAACTCAGTTCTTAAGTAGTAAGATTGTAATATATTAAAAAAAGAAAAAGGTAATGTATTAACTGTACTCAGTATGTAAAGTTCAAATCAAATGTAGTATAAAAATATTTAAATCATCATCATCCATTCAATGAAAGCAAAATAATCACAATAACTTGTGAATAAATTAACACAAATACATGAACATTAGTATAAATGGTATTAATTCATTGCTAAGTAGTATCATTTAAACCAGAAAACTAAATATAATACTGTTACTTTTTTAAAGAAAACAACAAGATTAAAAAAATCCAGCAAGAGTTGCATAATTTTCCCAGCTTAATACAAGGTTAAAATTGTGGAGATACCATCTGTTATAAAAAGTTTAATAAAATCTCATATTGATTATTATAAAAAGGCAAAAAGCTTAATTTTGAAGGTGGAGGTAAGTTTTACTAAAAAACTAGATGAAAACAACAACTAAAATCTTCATTGAATCTGACCCCACAACGAGATGTTACACATCTTCCAACCACAACATTTAACCACCAAAATTTAATAGAATCAATGCCCCTCACACACAAGCTATCGTTCCAAATTTTGTTTCTTAATCATTACACATCCTGTGATATTAAACAAAGTGGATGCCAACACACAAGAAATTTTCCCCTTCTTTACTTTTTTGATTCAAGAGGTCTCAAAATGTAGAGATTTGCAAAGAACCTGGAGGATCAAATTTGACACAATTCCAATACTTTCTGATAAAAGTTTAACAGCAATGTCTATTGATGTTAATAAGGCTTTGATGAGCAAAAAACAAAATAAAAACAAAATATCTTGCAAGAACTTTTGACATGTATAGAATGTCTTCTTCAGGAAAAAAAAATTCTAGAATGACAATATAAATTTTAACATTAATGTTAATATGTTCTAATTGAAGTGTATGTGTTATTTTTAAACGTTTAATGTTAATTTGTACTAATTGGTGCATATGTGTTAAATTTAAATGGTGCGCTATTAAACTTATCTGATAAGAATCTGGCACAAAACATTAATTATTTCTTTCATACTCCAATACTTTCCTGTATTACATGCATTACAGCCAGGATAGTAAAATTACTAAACTGAGAATATACAAATGTTGACTCAAAGTACAGAACAAATTATTGATACTTTAACATAAGGAAATTCATGCTAAAATATTAATATTTTATCAACATAAACACACATACAATTATAGATCAGTCAAAACTAAATTATACATCATTTCAGTTAAACATAATAATAATTGAATATACACATTGAACATTTTACTAGTTTGTAAATTCTGCTGAAAATTTTACAGCTAAAGACCAAACTCTAAATGTTAATTCAAACTATATTTACCAGAAGAGATGAGAAACCGAACAAGTTCCAAATGTCCTTCCTGGGCTGCCTCCATTAGAGGTGTGCTGGCACCAAGTTCTATATCTGCACCAGCTTTTATCAAAAAGTCAGCCACTTCTAAAAATCCTCCACAGCAGGCAAGAGTTAAGGCTGTTTCTTGAGTTTCTTCTGTTTGTGCATTAATATCAGCACCTGAAATTTACAATAAAAAATATTAACAAGTTTTAAATCAGTCAATTGGAAATTATTAAAATACAGTAGAACCTCGATTATCCGGACTAATTGGGGATGAAGGTAGTCCGGATAAGGAAAAATCCGGATAATCAAAACAAATACTTTAATTTGTCTTTTAATGATAATACAACACGTTTTATTTTCGATGGCATATCGGTAATATTAAAAGTAAATACTGTATTTAAATCGTGATCAAATTTTCAAGAAACAAACGTTCGTATTGCATTAGGACTACTACTGACCAACGCTAACAGACTACCTATTGTTTAAAAGGCCCTCTGGTGGCGCAAGAAGACGGATTTTATAAAATAAAAAGCAGTTGAAACTGCATTTTTATGNCCAATACAGATCTGTATTAGTACTTAATACAGACACTTGATTTACAGCTTGCAATTTTCAATATTAGGTAGTAATACAGACAATTGTTTTTGTAAAAAAAAAAGTAGTTCTGTTTTTATATAGTAATACCCTGAACTTACGTGATAGGTGGGATCGAGCAATAACTGCATAAGTTGGGGTATAATTTCGCATTTAAACGCATACAAATAATTTCTAATTGGGGCCAGAGCTAAAAAAAACAATAATTTAGAAAAAAATGTTTAATAAAATCTTAGATAATACATATGTATAACAAATTATGTTATACAATTTTTCACATTTACTTGATTTATAATTTTAACATTGTTTCCATCTCAGCGATAATCCATGACATTTATGAATTATGCTTGAATTTAAAGATGGAGCATTTTTCACAGGTTCCAGAATTTTTTCTTTGCCAATTCACAAATTTTCATTTTTGTATCAAAGTCTCTAATAATGTTCAACTTTACATTCCAAAGATAGTTTTTCTTTTCTTCTTTGATGCAGAATAATCAGTTCTACTTCGTTTGGATGACATAGTAGAGTCAAGTCTCCATAGATATAACAAACACAGAAATAAATAACACAAAATAAATTGTAGCTATGGGTCTATTCCGCGCGACACATCCGAACATGTAAGCTGAACAATAGTGTAGGGGGAAGTGAATAATCAAGAGTTGCGTGGTGCTCAAAAGACGAATCTACGAGATTTTAAAATCGCGTAACTCGGTTTGCGTAAATCAAGGTATTACTGTAATATATTGGGTTGTTCAGAAAGTAATTTCATTTTTTTCCATGAAAAAAAACAATATTTTTATAATAAATAAATATTTTATTGAATTATATATTGACCATTTTGGCCAAATACCTGTTGTCATCATTTCTGTTAGTAGCATGATTTCATATTCATAAAAGTTTTGATCATTGCTTACAAAAAAATTGATCCAAGTGATTTTTGACGTTGTCATTTCAAGAAAATGTCTTACAGTTTAAAAAAATTTGTATAGACCAGAACAAATAATAATCTGAGTGTGCTCGATTTGGTGAATATGATTGGTATAATAGCATGTCCCACCTAAGTTATAACAGTTTCTGACAAGTAACCAAACTTGTGTGAAATTTGACATTATGTGGTAAAACACTACACCTGTTTTGTTGATCAATTCTGGCCGCCTTTTCTGTTTGATGATGATACTCAATTTGTTTACTCGATGGCAGTACACTTTCGAATCAATTGTTAAATTGTCTGGTAAAAGCTCAAATAAAAAAATTTCCTTAAACTCCCACCAAAGAGAGCATCTCTCTTTAAGAACATGTGGAACTCATATATCGAGCTTTGAAATGAAACCAATTTGTTTCAAGTAATCATAAACGGTTCAATTTGACAAATTTAATCTTAGTGATTTCACGTGTTATTTGGCAGTTTGCTTCAATCAGTACCTTTATTTTGTTTTCATTGGCTTCAACTGGCCATCCAGAACATGGTGCATCTTCAATATTGAAATTGCCAGAATGAAATTTTGTAAACGAGTTTTGGCACTGTCTTTCTGTCAATACATCTTCTCCATACACGTCACACAATTTTTTTTCTCGCTTGAACAGCATTCTTACCTTTTTGGTAATAAGAGAGCAAAATATGCCGAAAATGCTGCTTTCGATCTTCCATATTTGATGGGACACAAAAAATAAACAATTGCACAAAATCAAACAAAATATTTTACAAATAAGCCTTAAATGCTAGCTGTCAAAATATATAATGACAATATGGTTTAGAATGAAAATGGCGGGAAAAATATGACTAATCTGTCTAGTGGTAAAAAAAAGAAATTACTTTCTGAACAACCCAATATTTAATATGATAATTTAATTGCAGCAAAATCATCATATAACACATCCAGATCCAGGGGGAAATGATTGAAAATATATATGCTTGCTGACTATATGTATGTGAATGGATGTTTAAAATTTTAAAAAATTTATGCTGAGAATAGTATCATTTACAAATGTTATGAATTTCTAATGAATTCTGTATGATTTATTAGAGGAAATTTATTATAGTACTGCCAATTCTAAAACAAAAAAAGTTTTTTTTTTTTAATTATAATTTTCTAGTCATGTCTAAGAAAACAATTAAATTATTAGTTTTATACTATTTTATATGTTAAAAATTTTAATAAATTTAAACTATAAAATTAAATATCAACTACAATAATAATTGAAGTGTTATTATTCTTCTGGATTATCTGCAAAAATACTCAAATGAAAATTCAACATACTATGAACAGTTTACCTAGATTATAAGAAGAATATCACAAGAAAAATTAAGTTTCAGAAACAAAGAGTATGTACTACAAATTATCATATGTATACAACAAATAATAAACGTTATAAAAATTGTCATAAGCCTTTTAATAAAAAATAGTTTGTTTCTTATTACATATAATTTAATGCATTTAATGAAATTATTACATAACCATTTTCATTTGAATTGAATCATGCCATATTTTTAGATATTCTATTTCTAACAATTTTGTTTTCTAGTTGATATTTTATATATAACAAAACTATTTCAAAATAACTTAATTTACAGATACAAATCATATACCAAATTATACATGTTAAATCAAACAGCTGGATTAAATAGTTTAGCATTAACATTCAAAAATTTACTTAATCTTTAATGAGTCAAAATTCAAAGATTCCTAAGAAAAAGTATCTTCTGCAGTGTACATTATTATTTCATATAAAATGTTATAGACAAAGTTATTAGATTATATTTGATATTTTACCTTGACTAAGTAACAGAGCAACCATTTCTTCATGTCCTTCCCTGGCAGCTTCCATAAGAGGAGTGTATCCTTCATCATTTACTTCTTCAATATTAGCACCACGTTCAAGAAGTAACATAGCTAATTCAACATGTCCTCCACAAGCTGCAAGTGTCAATGGAGATTCAAAACTATCAGCTGGCATATTTACCTAAAATTAAAAAAAAATTTTAAACTAATTTCCAGGAGATAGAGTTAACTCAACAAAATTAATTAAAAAGAAAAAAAAACTTAATATTTTATACAATTTCAAATTTAAATAAAATAAAAAAATGTTTTAAGTTATAATATATACATAGACAAACTAAGTACTGTAGAGCGTCAATTATCTGAATCAATTGGGGACTGGGATTGTTCGGATAATTTATTTTTCAGATAACAGATTATGTATGAAAAAATACATTATTAATATAGTATATTAGTATACCCCATGTTTAAATTTTTCTCCGTTACATGTCGCTTTGTGTTGAATTTTTGTCGATGTTAAGACTAATGATAATTTTTATAATAATAATCATGGCTATTGTATCGTTAAAAATTATTTCTTTATTTTGTACAAACAAACTAAATATATTGAAAAATATAAAAACAAAAGAAATTATACTTTAGAAGTTAATCTAGTATCAAAAACATTCGATTCAGCACAACACAGTCTGACTGGAATGCTTTTGATTGATCAGCATTCCGATAATTGACACTCTACTGTATTTTTATTACATAACAGCAGCATATACAATTGCTGAATTAGCTTTCTTTTGTCTCAGAATCAACACAAAAAACAGTTTATAAAATCAAATAATCCACAATACCAAACAGTTTGTAAACAAAAATAAAATAATTAAAAGCAGATCTACAGTAGATAAATGTAGGTTCCCATAAGACCTTTGGAGAAGACATTGCATAATTTCCTGTCAGCACATATGCATGATTATAAATATATACTTACATACTTTAGCTAGGAGACGTGTAGCTTTAAATGAACAGGAGTACATCTCGGTACTTGATTTTGCTTCATCATATCCTTTTATTTTAATACAAATGTGCTTTTATTACTTAAGAAGTCTGCTTGAGAATGTAGAAAATAGGCTCTCTACCACCAACATATACTACAATTGGCACATAAGTTATGCTATTCATCCGTTTTAAGTATAAAGATCAAATCTAGCTTTAGAATAAGGAAACCCCTCTTGGGGAATTGCGTGAATTAGTCATAAGGCACCTGTAGCAAACAATCCTAACAGATTTTATATTGTAAAGGAATATCTGGAAATATCATCTATGTACCTCCTGATAATATGGCAAAATATACCCAACGTGGCAGAGTTTGTCTGAAGTTATGAACAAAAATAGCTTTGAACTCCTAAAACTAGATCAGAAAGGGCAAATTTTTTAAACTTTCATATTACCCTAAATAACACACACATTAACACAAGTATTTATAGAAAACCAGAATGTCAGTCTTTCTTTACAGCATACTCAAAGATCCACACTTTCAAAATATCTGCTTTTAGGACTTATTAGAAGGGTGCATTACACTGCACCAATATTTTAGATACACAGAGGGAATTAAGATACTTTAAACAACTGGCAGTACAGCATGGATATCCTAAGTAGTTAGATAGTTGATAAAGAACAAAAGAATACACAAGTTAAAGATAATAACAGATGTATCAAGATAATAAAATATATGAAGCTTAGGAAGATATAGGAAATGTTTCCAATATGTAAGCTGGAACTTTCATAAAAAAATCACACCATTCAAACTTTTTCCAAAATATGCTTTATATTTTATAGATATAAATTACCAGCTAAAATGGCATATTGAAAGAACCCCATGTTTTCTCCTTGCTGAAAAACTGCAAGGAGAAAACATGGGGTTCTTAACAGGGTTGAAAATACAGAGAGAGGACAAAACACACCTGGCATATACAGCATCCGTGTTAGGTAGAAGATTTGGACAAGAGTTATAATATGTTGGTGCCATGAGCAGGTCATTACTAAAGAGTGAGAGAATATAACAAACTGTAGATAAAAAGAAACTAGTTACTTGCAAATGTTGCTCAAGCAGTAAGCCAGACATTGCATTTTCAAATTTAACTTCTAAAATTTTACATATGTACAGAGATATATATAGGCCATATAAGATAAATTTTTAACTCAAATTTTTAAGCACCGAAAACACATGAGCCTAATGCAAGAAATGCTTTCACAGTGAGAATAAAAGACAACTTGAGTGTACAACAGATGATGTTTATGCATTGAGTGTATTTTTTTCACTGTGTGCAGTTTGAACTCTGAATCAAATCTTCCAGAGTTTGAATGCTAAATTAGAAACATTTAAAGTTAGAGACACTCAAATTATGAGGTACCACTATATTCTGTTTGTAAGAATATATTATTGTGTACAAACTTTAAATTTACTTTTAATGCCAATATAGGTGACATTTTCATTAATAAACTCATAGCCATAATAAAAAATTAACAAGTTAAATATAGAAAATTCATAAAATTCTTGAAATGATTTTGTAGCATTGTCACTTTCTACATTTAATGGTTATAAATACACATGTGCATTCATTCAATACAAAATGATTCACTTTTATCAGATAACACCACTAAAACATTCAAACTATACCAGCAAATATCATAATGTATTTAAATTAAACTATAAGTGTTTTAGTGGTGTTATTTAATAGTCTATAACCAGCTTTGGAAGATTCAGAACTTCACTTTTATCATCAAATAACAAAAATTACAAAGTATTTTTGATTTAAATTTTACTTTTGTTATGCCAAAAATGCCTGGGAAGAGATCATTAACTATTGATACTGACTAAACAAAAAAATAAAATAAAGCAAGTGAATAAAACTCCTGAATACCGAAGTTCATGGATTTGTACCTGCTCAAATATTGTTGGGGGTTTCACCACATGTCTAACATCTAAACTGGCTAGTTTCTTCCTTGAAAGATTGCACAGTTGATGTGTTGCCTTATTCCATCAATCTAATCCAAAAAAATAAAAGCAAGCTCACATAGAAATTAAGGAGAACCACAAAAACCACTTATACTTGCAATTAACCCAGTCTCAAATATTCCGTCCCACTAATTTCCAGTCTCAGCAGTGGCACATTATAGCTTCATGGGGTTCCAGGTAAATTTGAATTGGGGCCTCCATATGCAATTTTTATTTTAACTATTTAGCATTTTTGTTTGGGGGAATTCCCTGGTATCCTTGTTCATTTTTTAATGCACAATTTGCACAGTGTTAGTGCACCCTGCACTTTTGCCAAACCAATAATCTAGGGTTGGGGATATAGCCAAAATTTAAATTTTGATATTCTTACTACAGTAACAAAGTTATAAAAGATTGGTTTGGGGCCACAGGCATTTGCCCTTTTTTGCACATAGGATAACACACCACTCTGTCTCAGTTTCTGGTCACAATAACTTCCCAAATACAGTAGAGCGTCATTTTTCCGAAAGCCAGTTATCCGAAACGTCAGTTAACCAAAAGCATTCCAGTCGGCAAATTTAAATTTTCATTAGTGCTGTGGCGCTTCAATCTTTGGCTATATTTGGGCTACTCCAATATTTTTTTTTGTTGGTGTGTGTGTTTTAGCTGGCAGCACTGGCACTTTTGTGTGTTTTTCTGAGGACTGTGTGTCATGGTGAATCGAACATTTTTGACACTAGATTAACTTCTAAAGTATAAATTTTTTTTTTGTTTTTAGATTTTTCAATATATTTATTTTGTTTGTAAAAAATAAAAACAATTTTTAACGATACAATAGCCACGATTATTTTAAAAAGTTTACGTTAGACTTAAAAGTGACATGCAACAGAGAAAAATTTCAACATGAGATATGCTAATGTATTTTTTCATACATAATTGCTTATCAGAAAAACAAGTTATCTGAACAAGCCCAGTCTCCAATTGATTCGGATGTAGTAACTTATTTTTTGCAATCAAATGTTCTGTTTTATATATGTGCACATTGTGAATAATGGCACAAGTAGCATTTAAAAAATTATTTTTATGCATTTGGTTATTAATTAATTTCATAAAAAATTTTATTCACAAAAAATTAAATACATACTTGTGCACCAGAATCCAACAACAAGCGAGCAACTTCTACATGTCCGTCCATTGATGCCTCCATAAGAGCTGTATGCATTTCGTCCGTCTTGTGTTCTTGATCTGCTCCAGCTTCCAATAAAAATCTCACCATTTCTAAGTGACCTTTGAAATGCAGATGTTTACATAAATAATAATTTTTCAAAATTATTATTAAATACTTAGAAGCATACTCATAATATTTTAATGGAAAAGTGCTCTCATTTTTTAACATTAAAGCAAATTTTGAACTAATCTAAAANTTACTACGTAAAATATATTTAAGAGTTTACGGCCACTGTGCCGGGTGTTATGCATTCCAAAAAATGTTATGCATTCCATCACGTACATAAACAGTGTCGTAATTCGCCAAGTGCAAATCAGCAAATTCGTAAAATTTTTGTTTATTTTGAACAATCCGGATAATCGAAAATCCGGATAATGGAGGTCCGGATAATGGAGGTTCTACTGTAGTTGCAATTTTATTTAAACTATAAAATTACAAAATTTGTGTGTTTGTAACATTCACTGTTTCAATTCAAAACTCAGTTTACTTTACTATATATAAATTACTTAAATTTGGATTGCCACAGAAAATAATTTTGGAAGTTTGTAATTACAATAGAACTTCAACTTACTCAAATCAATTTTTAAAATTTCCAAAAAACATTTGAAAATAAGAGATGATCACAATTCATTTAAATTTAGCAATATACTATATTTAATCTTTTTCTAAAAATTAAGTTTAATATCAATTTGAGTTTTGCAACATTATTATTATTATAAATTATTTCAATCAGAAATATTCTGTTTTTTGATATTTTTATAATCCTGCAGTTTAACATCTATAACTTATATATCCACATAATTGAGAAATTTTAGAAATGTATAATTTGATATATTTTTCAAGAAAATCTATATTCAATTGAAATATCTTATGCAAATAACATAAAAATCTATAAAACTATAAAGGAAATTATTATTTTCTGCAATAATTACTTATTAAATCAACATGTACACATACATAGAATTAGGTGCATAATTACATCAATAAAACATTTAATAAATTATTTGTTATTTTTAAGTTACAATATTAAAAAAATTTAACATTTCCTAAAATACTTTGTTGTCAGTGAAAATATTTTATAGCTCATTTTCTAATGTAATTATGAATGTCTGATAAATGCAAAAAACATATATATGTATATGAGATATTTAAAAGAAAATTATATAAAGAAAACTGAATATATCTAACATTTCATTACATTCTGAAATGAGGCAACAATATATTGACAAAGATTTGACCGACATTGCCTCAACACACTATACATCACTGAAACTTGCTTTCCAAATGTGCATCATATTTATTTTCTGTCATTTCTCTCAAATTTTTCCTATATAATCTCAATTTTATATCTGTTATAATAGATAGTATCTCAAAAGATTGGAGAGAAATCATTAGAAATTAAAATAATTGCATAGAAAAAAGTTTGACAGATGATTTATTAAACATGGCTAACTTATTAAATTATAAATTATCTTTTCAACTAGTTTCAGATTATTTGTGAATTGATCTATCTGTGGGGAGGAAAAAAAATTCAAAGAAAACACATCCTAATTATTTAATCTGATTTTGAAGTAAAGTAATGCAAAGTTTTTAGTAGTGTTAAATTTATTTTATGCATTTTTATGAAATTTCAAGTAAGAATTAACCATAACTGCATAAAAATGATCTATTGGGTTGTTCAGAAAGTAATTTCATTTTTTTCCATGAAAAAAAACAATATTTTTATAATAAATAAATATTTTATTGAATTATATATTGACCATTTTGGCCAAATACCTGTTGTCATCATTTCTGTTAGTAGCATGATTTCATATTCATAAAAGTTTTGATCATTGCTTACAAAAAAATTGATCCAAGTGATTTTTGACGTTGTCATTTCAAGAAAATGTCTTACAGTTTAAAAAAATTTGTATAGACCAGAACAAATAATAATCTGAGTGTGCTCGATTTGGTGAATATGATTGGTATAATAGCATGTCCCACCTAAGTTATAACAGTTTCTGACAAGTAACCAAACTTGTGTGAAATTTGACATTATGTGGTAAAACACTACACCTGTTTTGTTGATCAATTCTGGCCGCCTTTTCTGTTTGATGATGATACTCAATTTGTTTACTCGATGGCAGTACACTTTCGAATCAATTGTTAAATTGTCTGGTAAAAGCTCAAATAAAAAAATTTCCTTAAACTCCCACCAAAGAGAGCATCTCTCTTTAAGAACATGTGGAACTCATATATCGAGCTTTGAAATGAAACCAATTTGTTTCAAGTAATCATAAACGGTTCAATTTGACAAATTTAATCTTAGTGATTTCACGTGTTATTTGGCAGTTTGCTTCAATCAGTACCTTTATTTTGTTTTCATTGGCTTCAACTGGCCATCCAGAACATGGTGCATCTTCAATATTGAAATTGCCAGAATGAAATTTTGTAAACGAGTTTTGGCACTGTCTTTCTGTCAATACATCTTCTCCATACACGTCACACAATTTTTTTTCTCGCTTGAACAGCATTCTTACCTTTTTGGTAATAAGAGAGCAAAATATGCCGAAAATGCTGCTTTCGATCTTCCATATTTGATGGGACACAAAAAATAAACAATTGCACAAAATCAAACAAAATATTTTACAAATAAGCCTTAAATGCTAGCTGTCAAAATATATAATGACAATATGGTTTAGAATGAAAATGGCGGGAAAAATATGACTAATCTGTCTAGTGGTAAAAAAAAGAAATTACTTTCTGAACAACCCAATATTTAATATGATAATTTAATTGCAGCAAAATCATCATATAACACATCCAGATCCAGGGGGAAATGATTGAAAATATATATGCTTGCTGACTATATGTATGTGAATGGATGTTTAAAATTTTAAAAAATTTATGCTGAGAATAGTATCATTTACAAATGTTATGAATTTCTAATGAATTCTGTATGATTTATTAGAGGAAATTTATTATAGTACTGCCAATTCTAAAACAAAAAAAGTTTTTTTTTTTTAATTATAATTTTCTAGTCATGTCTAAGAAAACAATTAAATTATTAGTTTTATACTATTTTATATGTTAAAAATTTTAATAAATTTAAACTATAAAATTAAATATCAACTACAATAATAATTGAAGTGTTATTATTCTTCTGGATTATCTGCAAAAATACTCAAATGAAAATTCAACATACTATGAACAGTTTACCTAGATTATAAGAAGAATATCACAAGAAAAATTAAGTTTCAGAAACAAAGAGTATGTACTACAAATTATCATATGTATACAACAAATAATAAACGTTATAAAAATTGTCATAAGCCTTTTAATAAAAAATAGTTTGTTTCTTATTACATATAATTTAATGCATTTAATGAAATTATTACATAACCATTTTCATTTGAATTGAATCATGCCATATTTTTAGATATTCTATTTCTAACAATTTTGTTTTCTAGTTGATATTTTATATATAACAAAACTATTTCAAAATAACTTAATTTACAGATACAAATCATATACCAAATTATACATGTTAAATCAAACAGCTGGATTAAATAGTTTAGCATTAACATTCAAAAATTTACTTAATCTTTAATGAGTCAAAATTCAAAGATTCCTAAGAAAAAGTATCTTCTGCAGTGTACATTATTATTTCATATAAAATGTTATAGACAAAGTTATTAGATTATATTTGATATTTTACCTTGACTAAGTAACAGAGCAACCATTTCTTCATGTCCTTCCCTGGCAGCTTCCATAAGAGGAGTGTATCCTTCATCATTTACTTCTTCAATATTAGCACCACGTTCAAGAAGTAACATAGCTAATTCAACATGTCCTCCACAAGCTGCAAGTGTCAATGGAGATTCAAAACTATCAGCTGGCATATTTACCTAAAATTAAAAAAAAATTTTAAACTAATTTCCAGGAGATAGAGTTAACTCAACAAAATTAATTAAAAAGAAAAAAAAACTTAATATTTTATACAATTTCAAATTTAAATAAAATAAAAAAATGTTTTAAGTTATAATATATACATAGACAAACTAAGTACTGTAGAGCGTCAATTATCTGAATCAATTGGGGACTGGGATTGTTCGGATAATTTATTTTTCAGATAACAGATTATGTATGAAAAAATACATTATTAATATAGTATATTAGTATACCCCATGTTTAAATTTTTCTCCGTTACATGTCGCTTTGTGTTGAATTTTTGTCGATGTTAAGACTAATGATAATTTTTATAATAATAATCATGGCTATTGTATCGTTAAAAATTATTTCTTTATTTTGTACAAACAAACTAAATATATTGAAAAATATAAAAACAAAAGAAATTATACTTTAGAAGTTAATCTAGTATCAAAAACATTCGATTCAGCACAACACAGTCTGACTGGAATGCTTTTGATTGATCAGCATTCCGATAATTGACACTCTACTGTATTTTTATTACATAACAGCAGCATATACAATTGCTGAATTAGCTTTCTTTTGTCTCAGAATCAACACAAAAAACAGTTTATAAAATCAAATAATCCACAATACCAAACAGTTTGTAAACAAAAATAAAATAATTAAAAGCAGATCTACAGTAGATAAATGTAGGTTCCCATAAGACCTTTGGAGAAGACATTGCATAATTTCCTGTCAGCACATATGCATGATTATAAATATATACTTACATACTTTAGCTAGGAGACGTGTAGCTTTAAATGAACAGGAGTACATCTCGGTACTTGATTTTGCTTCATCATATCCTTTTATTTTAATACAAATGTGCTTTTATTACTTAAGAAGTCTGCTTGAGAATGTAGAAAATAGGCTCTCTACCACCAACATATACTACAATTGGCACATAAGTTATGCTATTCATCCGTTTTAAGTATAAAGATCAAATCTAGCTTTAGAATAAGGAAACCCCTCTTGGGGAATTGCGTGAATTAGTCATAAGGCACCTGTAGCAAACAATCCTAACAGATTTTATATTGTAAAGGAATATCTGGAAATATCATCTATGTACCTCCTGATAATATGGCAAAATATACCCAACGTGGCAGAGTTTGTCTGAAGTTATGAACAAAAATAGCTTTGAACTCCTAAAACTAGATCAGAAAGGGCAAATTTTTTAAACTTTCATATTACCCTAAATAACACACACATTAACACAAGTATTTATAGAAAACCAGAATGTCAGTCTTTCTTTACAGCATACTCAAAGATCCACACTTTCAAAATATCTGCTTTTAGGACTTATTAGAAGGGTGCATTACACTGCACCAATATTTTAGATACACAGAGGGAATTAAGATACTTTAAACAACTGGCAGTACAGCATGGATATCCTAAGTAGTTAGATAGTTGATAAAGAACAAAAGAATACACAAGTTAAAGATAATAACAGATGTATCAAGATAATAAAATATATGAAGCTTAGGAAGATATAGGAAATGTTTCCAATATGTAAGCTGGAACTTTCATAAAAAAATCACACCATTCAAACTTTTTCCAAAATATGCTTTATATTTTATAGATATAAATTACCAGCTAAAATGGCATATTGAAAGAACCCCATGTTTTCTCCTTGCTGAAAAACTGCAAGGAGAAAACATGGGGTTCTTAACAGGGTTGAAAATACAGAGAGAGGACAAAACACACCTGGCATATACAGCATCCGTGTTAGGTAGAAGATTTGGACAAGAGTTATAATATGTTGGTGCCATGAGCAGGTCATTACTAAAGAGTGAGAGAATATAACAAACTGTAGATAAAAAGAAACTAGTTACTTGCAAATGTTGCTCAAGCAGTAAGCCAGACATTGCATTTTCAAATTTAACTTCTAAAATTTTACATATGTACAGAGATATATATAGGCCATATAAGATAAATTTTTAACTCAAATTTTTAAGCACCGAAAACACATGAGCCTAATGCAAGAAATGCTTTCACAGTGAGAATAAAAGACAACTTGAGTGTACAACAGATGATGTTTATGCATTGAGTGTATTTTTTTCACTGTGTGCAGTTTGAACTCTGAATCAAATCTTCCAGAGTTTGAATGCTAAATTAGAAACATTTAAAGTTAGAGACACTCAAATTATGAGGTACCACTATATTCTGTTTGTAAGAATATATTATTGTGTACAAACTTTAAATTTACTTTTAATGCCAATATAGGTGACATTTTCATTAATAAACTCATAGCCATAATAAAAAATTAACAAGTTAAATATAGAAAATTCATAAAATTCTTGAAATGATTTTGTAGCATTGTCACTTTCTACATTTAATGGTTATAAATACACATGTGCATTCATTCAATACAAAATGATTCACTTTTATCAGATAACACCACTAAAACATTCAAACTATACCAGCAAATATCATAATGTATTTAAATTAAACTATAAGTGTTTTAGTGGTGTTATTTAATAGTCTATAACCAGCTTTGGAAGATTCAGAACTTCACTTTTATCATCAAATAACAAAAATTACAAAGTATTTTTGATTTAAATTTTACTTTTGTTATGCCAAAAATGCCTGGGAAGAGATCATTAACTATTGATACTGACTAAACAAAAAAATAAAATAAAGCAAGTGAATAAAACTCCTGAATACCGAAGTTCATGGATTTGTACCTGCTCAAATATTGTTGGGGGTTTCACCACATGTCTAACATCTAAACTGGCTAGTTTCTTCCTTGAAAGATTGCACAGTTGATGTGTTGCCTTATTCCATCAATCTAATCCAAAAAAATAAAAGCAAGCTCACATAGAAATTAAGGAGAACCACAAAAACCACTTATACTTGCAATTAACCCAGTCTCAAATATTCCGTCCCACTAATTTCCAGTCTCAGCAGTGGCACATTATAGCTTCATGGGGTTCCAGGTAAATTTGAATTGGGGCCTCCATATGCAATTTTTATTTTAACTATTTAGCATTTTTGTTTGGGGGAATTCCCTGGTATCCTTGTTCATTTTTTAATGCACAATTTGCACAGTGTTAGTGCACCCTGCACTTTTGCCAAACCAATAATCTAGGGTTGGGGATATAGCCAAAATTTAAATTTTGATATTCTTACTACAGTAACAAAGTTATAAAAGATTGGTTTGGGGCCACAGGCATTTGCCCTTTTTTGCACATAGGATAACACACCACTCTGTCTCAGTTTCTGGTCACAATAACTTCCCAAATACAGTAGAGCGTCATTTTTCCGAAAGCCAGTTATCCGAAACGTCAGTTAACCAAAAGCATTCCAGTCGGCAAATTTAAATTTTCATTAGTGCTGTGGCGCTTCAATCTTTGGCTATATTTGGGCTACTCCAATATTTTTTTTTGTTGGTGTGTGTGTTTTAGCTGGCAGCACTGGCACTTTTGTGTGTTTTTCTGAGGACTGTGTGTCATGGTGAATCGAACATTTTTGACACTAGATTAACTTCTAAAGTATAAATTTTTTTTTTGTTTTTAGATTTTTCAATATATTTATTTTGTTTGTAAAAAATAAAAACAATTTTTAACGATACAATAGCCACGATTATTTTAAAAAGTTTACGTTAGACTTAAAAGTGACATGCAACAGAGAAAAATTTCAACATGAGATATGCTAATGTATTTTTTCATACATAATTGCTTATCAGAAAAACAAGTTATCTGAACAAGCCCAGTCTCCAATTGATTCGGATGTAGTAACTTATTTTTTGCAATCAAATGTTCTGTTTTATATATGTGCACATTGTGAATAATGGCACAAGTAGCATTTAAAAAATTATTTTTATGCATTTGGTTATTAATTAATTTCATAAAAAATTTTATTCACAAAAAATTAAATACATACTTGTGCACCAGAATCCAACAACAAGCGAGCAACTTCTACATGTCCGTCCATTGATGCCTCCATAAGAGCTGTATGCATTTCGTCCGTCTTGTGTTCTTGATCTGCTCCAGCTTCCAATAAAAATCTCACCATTTCTAAGTGACCTTTGAAATGCAGATGTTTACATAAATAATAATTTTTCAAAATTATTATTAAATACTTAGAAGCATACTCATAATATTTTAATGGAAAAGTGCTCTCATTTTTTAACATTAAAGCAAATTTTGAACTAATCTAAAACTGCTTAAACTAATCATCTTAATATCTATCTAAATAAAAATTTCTCAGTAAAGCTGACTAGTCAAAAAATTATAAATCTAAAAGTTACAAATTCATTTAAATTAAAATTATACATAAATTATTCTTATTTTACTTAATAACTATCATTTTCTATCAATTCTATTTAAAAAAAGGATTTTTTGGGGAATAAAGCATTATTAATAATGCAATTGCACATTCAATAAGAAATATATTTGAAGAAATAATTTTTTTTTTAGTTAATAACACCTAAAATAAGCTAGAAGTAGTTTAATTATAAAGTACTGAACAAATTTTTAGCTAGCTTCAGTTAATTAATATATTTTCACAATATATTTTTAAATTAATCTAAAGTTTATATATTTCATCAGTCTATATATAAAAAGTACATTTATTGAAAAGATAAGTACTTAATAATCAATGCCTGAAAAATAAAGGTAGATAAAGGAAATATAAAATATGTACATTTACATACATATTTTAGTCGTCAGGAGATGGGCAGAATAAATTATAATATTTAAGAAAATTTAAATATTTTGAAGTAAATAAATTATATGCGCCTATATTTTTGATATTTCTACTGACTCATAATATGAGAATTCATAGGTTATTTCTATCTCTATTGTAGGAAACCTAAGCATTAAATCACAACTTTTAATCAATATACTTGAAAGAAGCATTTCTTATTTTCATGCTTTCTTTAAAATTAATATATTAAGCAAGATATAATGCAAGAAAAATAAAGACATTATTAATAAAGAATTAGTTCAACATCAGAAATCAAATGTTAGTTTATGTTAATTAGTATTTGCACAACAAAAGTTATAAATCAGCCATAATTTGTGATAAGGAATTTCTTTATGAAATTATCATACATACAGTATATAAATTATAGCTTTAAATTGCTGTGACCTTCTCACTACAGAAATATCTTCCTGTTTTATCCAATTCAATTTTAGGGTGTAACTATATACCTAATGGCAAAACTAATCTGTCGGCCAGAATTCACCCATACACACACAGTGTGTTACATGGGCAATATGAATTCCCAAAATCTCCTTAATTTACTAGCATCAATTTACCAGCACTTTCAGTTGAAGCAGAATCAGGATGGGGTGCAAGCCTACCCTTGTAGCATGCTAAAGTGAGGGCACTTTCTTTGAATTCATTCGAATGGGTGTTGATGCTGGCCCCATGTTCCACCAGGAGTTTGGCCACCCCAACATGACCACCACTGGCAGCCTCCATGAGAGGTGTATGGCCATTTTCATTATGATCTTCTACATTGGCCCCTGCTTCAAGTAATGCCTGTACCACTTCTTCATGACCACCAGCACATGCAAACATCAATGGTGTGTTCCCTGAAATATGATATGTTAAATGTTTTAAAATGTAACACTATATTTTCTCATCATTTTTAATTTCCATATTAATTAAGTTTTATTGTTTATGTTCCCAATATTGTATATGAAAGAAAGGAAGAAAAAAAATATTCTTATAATTTAAAAATTTATTGAATCTTAGGAAAAATAAGTTTTAACAATCACATGTTATAGGTTTAAAAAATAATCAGAAAAACAAGTTTCTTTACTAATAGAAAAAACACAAGAAATAAAATGCAATGAGATGTTATATTTAAAATGTTAAATTTATTATCTTAAGCATTTTATTCTATAACATTCATTTCACTATATTATTACTTGATTCACAATCAAAACAAATGAGTAATTTTCATTAACATGCATTAATTAGCACAGTTCCATATCATTATCTGTAATTATTTCTTTTCATTTAAAATATACTGATTTATCATCATCAAAATGAATGGAACATGAAAATATTTTTAAATCATTAAATCACAAAGAAAGGTATCAATGTTCCGTCTTTATATTTTATCAGTAATGTATAAAAAACACAATCAAAAGCAATTTTGATTTATTTTTAATAATTCATAAAATAAATACCAACTTAAAAAATAAATATTGTAATGTCGCTAATCAATCAAACTGCTACTGCTCTTATTCATAATTTAAAATGAAAACTCAAAAATATATTAAAATAGATCATTTACATTCTTACTAATGTCTAATAAAAATTTACATTTAAATCATTTATATTTTATAATGAATAGTTTTACACACATTTATGACAAACCTTTATATACTATATACTGTTTAGTTTATATGACATGTTATATAAACTGAGCTGTATACAAAACTTTTAAATACAAAGNACATTTTTGAACTGAAGTATATAAAATTTTAAAAATTCTTTCTATAAAAGAGAATATTTCCCCAGAAAAAATCAATACTCCCATTTAAGTATGACTACAACATAAATTGATATCTTAACTGCTACTAACTGTAGACATTAAAATTAATTATCTCAGTAAAGAAGATCATTAAACGTACCATATCACTCAAAGGAGGAGGAAAAACTACTCCAATACAAAACAACAAACAGAAAAATCTGATAAGAATGTTAAGAAGTTTCTCTCTATTGGTTTATTTCTAGACTGGAAACTCTCTACCTCAGTATTCATTCAGCAGAATGATGCAAGTTCAAAAAAGAAAAAAAAATGTTTTTGGTCTTTTTCTAAGACCCGCTTCAGATCACAAATTTCAAACAAATATAATGTCTAAGTTTTAGTGTTCAAATGTGTCAGGCACAGAAGAGCTTATACAAAAATTCAAAATAAAAACTAACACATCCTATTGGATGATTTTAGAAGTGCAGAAATTGTGAAACAGTTTTCATAATGACGTAAACAGGACCTGCCACTTTTGTGAAATGTACCTCTCTTCTTTAAAATTTATACATTTTCCTTTACACGCTTTAAAAATCTAGCATTTCCAGTACTTTGAGTCGACCCATGTTTGTCATTGTTCTAATTAATGTAGTCCATTGTAAATCAGGTTTAATTTCATCCTCCCCTGAATATATCGAGAGCGAAGTGGTTTACTTGCCTTATTTATAGCGACTCTGTTCAGGTAAATGCTTTTTAAAGGACCTCATGGATCTGTTATAGAGCAATTAACCAAAAAAGGCAGGCAAACCATTGCCCTCTTGATACATGCAGGGGGATGAAATTAAACCTGATTTACAATGGGCTACATGGACAATGACAAACATGGACCAACTCAAAGTACTGGAAGTACTAGAGATTTTTAGAACAGGAAGAAAAAAAAAGTATAAATTTTAAAAAAGAGGTGTATGTCACAAGGCAGGCCCTGTTTGATACGTAATCATGAAAACTATTTTACAATTTCTACACAAACAATACGATACATCAATTTTAGATGTTTTAATTCTAAGTTTCGTATAAGTTCTTCTGTGCCTTATACATTCGAACACCAAAATGTTAGATGTTCCAAATATTTCAAGTATGTGAACCAAAGTAGGTCTTAAAACAAATGTTTTCAGTCTTCTCCAAACTTGCATCATTCTACTGGGTGAATACCAAAGAAGGGAGTTTCCACAGTAAAGTATAACCCAGTTTCTGGTGTACTTTTATGGTTTGTTTCTAGTGACAAAAAATTTACAATTGAAATTTAAGTTATAGTAAGTTCTCTTATTATGCAAGGTTGAATTTTAAATTTTATGTAATAGGAACAAAATGTCATTTAAACTAAAGATAAATTATTAAGTTGCATTCTGCATACACCGTATTAATAAATATCAATAGTTTCAATATACAGGGTGTAACAGAAAGGTGTGTAAAAAATTTGAGGAGTTGTAGAGGGACTAATAAAACTGCAGATAATTAATAATGAATATCAAACTAACATGCAATTATCAACAAATATTTTCATATATCAGATGGCATTTCACTAAACATGAAGTAACATCACATTTGCTTTTATCACTTACTAGCTGCAAGGACCCGCTTCGCTGGGTTTTTATTTGTGGGCAAAAAGTAACGATAGTGAAGATTAAGATAATTACATTATAGCCAATCTTATCCGTTTTCACAGAATGCAAGAATTAGGCCCCCCCCTTTCCAGACTAATTAGAGACCTGGTCCTGATTCTATTTCTGAACGTCTCCTGTTCACGTCCAGTCAAACGAACTATTTTCAACGTTTCTGGAACGTTTACAATTGTTCTATAATCGAACCAATGTTCGAATTCAAATCCGAATATTGTTCGAATTAAATTCGAACATAACATTCGAAATAGAAAACCACTTTCAACCACATATCTCCCGCACCCTTATAGCTATCGAGACGCAACCACCATAGTGCACGAATGGAGACTTGGGGCTACCACCACATACAAACAGCATTCATGTGCGATGTGTAGTTTTTGTGGAAAAGTGAAATATAGGGACACACACATCCATTTTTATATATATATAGATAACTCAAAATGAATGCTTCAAATCAAAAAATGGCCCTAGAATTTTCAACTCTAAATTAGCCCCTCTACAACCCCTCAAATTTTTCACACACATTTGTTACTCTCTGTATAACAAGTAACTTGAGCAAAAATTTTATTTTTAGCTTATTCTAGCTTATCCAGAACAGAACAAACTTTGATGAACTTTATCTAAAAAGAAAAATTCTTGGAAGGATCTCAAAACTATAGAGACAAACTAACAACAACAAGTAGTAGGAAGCAAAAACTATTTGAACAGACAAAAAGCATACAGAGTTAATTTAACTTTAGTTCAACAGTTATATGTTCAAAAATTTCAGTTTGTATATAAAAACCTGAACTGCAAATAAAAGTTGATTATGAAAGGTGTATCAAGCCATCAATGGCTAAATGAACCTTCTCCAAAATCAACACCCCACAAGATAATAGTTAAAGAATTTAATTATCCTTCTTCAAGATGTTCATTGCAATAAATTTTCAAATAATATCACAAACAATATGGGATATGTAAACATTACCGTTAGCAGCCAAAGAACATAACTATGCTGTACATGTAATTTTGAACAATGTGTATTGATTTTTCTATTGCATACTTTGGGAACTTACTATATTAGCAGATTTTAATAATCAGAATAGTTATTGATTGAGCAACAGTGATGCCATATTACCTACTAAAACAATACAGCATAAACTACATATTACTCATTTTAAAAAATATTTGTTTGAATAATTTTTGAAATTAATGACAAAAATATAAGCTGTATTGTTCTATGTAAGCTATAGTTCTAGAGAATAACAAAACTCATAGAAGGATAAAAATCACTTTCATGATATAACAATTCATAAAAGACATTAATTCATAAAGGGCTTAAAATATATATCAATGACAACTATTTTTAATACAGACAATTTATATACTATGCACTTTACATAAATATTAAAATGTAAGATTTATATACTAAAATCAAGGATTAAGATGGCATTAGACATGATGAAAATCTCAATTGACACTACTGCCACTAGTTTTATTCCTAAAATTATACACTAAAATATGCAAGTACATAAAATATACAAATCAGAAAATTCTTCAATTCAAACTTGNTATGTTATAAAACTTTTGGAATAAATATAACTTTATATAAATTGACAAATTAGATATAATTTCTTTTTAAAAAAACAATTCGTGGAAAATTCCGATATCTTTCATCGAAACAATTTCGGGGGAAAAAAATGAAATACCGATAAATTTATTTGTAATCATTAAGCATCTTTCAGTTTCTTCATTTTTGTAAACTCATAACATTTAAATGAGCCATTGTTATTTCGTACGGATGAACGTATGGAAGAAAATAAAATGATCAAAATAAGCATATTATTTCCAAGATTTTAAATAATTTGTCTTTAAAACTACAGAAAACACTATGCTTCTTCCTAAATTCGGTGGAAATTTTAAAGGGTAAACAGTGTTCAAAAATACTCAAATTTATTAGGATAAAATTAATTTTGATATTTTCGTTTTTCGTACTCTATTCCGTACTCCGATTAATACAACTCATAATTAACCATAAGCAATGCCATTTCCCTTTTTTATTTTAATATTAGTTTTATGAATGCATTAAAAAAAATATTCAAATAAAAACAAATTAAACAGAATTTTTAAAAAGTAGAAAATTTCACTATAGACCTGTAACTTTATTGTGATTATATTTGTAATGAACCTAATCGTCTTGTGCTAAAACTTAAGTGTGAACTCAAATTATTTTTAAATAAACAATAAAAATTAATAATTTTGACCTGTAACTTTATTGTGATTATATTTGTAATGAACCTAATCGTCTTGTGCTAAAACTTAAGTGTGAACTCAGATTATTTTTAAATAAACAATCTTAAAGATAATTTAATAAATCAAAACACTTATGATTGTGTATATTAAATATTACTGGTCAAGTACAAATGTTTGATATTTTGGGTAAATTACAGATCAG